GGTCCCAGGTTCGATTCCAGTCAAGGGCACATGCCTGGGTTGCAGGCTTGATCCCCAGTAGGGAGCTCGCAGGAAGCAGCAGATCAAGGATTCTCTTCATCATTGATGTTTCTATCTCTCTCTCCCTCTCCCTTCCTCTCTGAAATCAATAAAAATGAATTAAAAAAATAAAAATTAAAAATATTTTTTAAAAAAGGAACATTTTAAATGATTACATGAAATAATAAAAAAGAAAGTCTGCCCACTGACAAAGGCTGATTCTTCCCCTCTTAATGCCTTTTGGTAAAACCCAAAAATATGATCTGCCTATATATATATATCAATGTTCTTATTTTCACAACACTATGCTTTTTATAAATCTATTTGTCTAATCATGTGTGGACAAAAGATAAAATTATCACAGGTGAGTCAATTGCAAATGAAGTAGGAAGGACCACATTTTATACATATTTTATAGAAATGGAAATAAAAGTTTATCATAGTGTAAAACATGAGGTACATAGTGACACAGCTTTAAATGCTATGGGATCTTACCTCACCATGATAAATCAAAATCTGGAAGAATGTGTCCATCAGAAGAATACGATCTGCAAGAATGCTGCTGCTATCAAGAAGAACCGGCTAACGTGAACAAAATGAGAAAGGAGGAAGAAGGAAAAATAAATTAAAGACACACAAGAGCTTTCCAGGATCAATTTAAATTTTTTAAGTTTTAAATTTGTATCATATTACTTAAAACCTTTGGCTATTATGAATTCTCATGGCATATTTTAACTTTATTTTCTCAGAAATCTCTAAGCTGAGGTTAACAATTGAGAAATGAATAAAAAAGAAATCAAGGATGACTCAAGCTTGATGGTGGAACCATTGAGTAAGAGGGGAAAAGCTTGGGATAGAGCAAATTTGGAGCAGACTGGAAGTAGGGGTTATGAAATGAAAGGAAGTGGCCTGAGCTAATGACATAAATTTAGGTATCACATGCATGAAGATGGTAATTAGACCTATGAGATTAGACTGCATCACATAGAGAGAGGAAAGACAGAGAAGAAGTCAGATTCCTGGAGCATAACTTAGAGGTCTGAAAGGGAGAAGCCAACAACAAAAGGAACCTGAGAAGGAACAGGCGTGAGTAGGAGGAAACCTGGAAGGTACTATAGGTGTCAGAGAAGCCTAGAGCAAAAGGTTTGCATGGAGTCCTCACTAGGAGAATACTGTTGAGAGTTCTGGCAAGATGTAGGGTAATGTTATGAGTTGTTTCAGTATGATGTTAGGGATAAGAGTCTGACTGATACAGGTTGAAAAGAGAATATGAGGTGAGAAAGTATAGACAACAAGTAGATTGTGAATTTGGCTGTGACCAGAACCAGAGAGATGGGGTGTCAATTAGAAAAAAATGTCAAGTCATGGTTTTTTGTTTGTTTTAACATGAATGCCTTTTTAAAAAAATTAAATTTATGCCTAGCCGGCATGGGTCAGTGGTTGAGCCTCAACCTATAAACCAAGAGGTCACACTTCCACTCCCACCTGGGTTGCTGGCTTGATCCCCAAGGGGGGGTGGGAGGGAGGAAGGATGTGTAGAAGGCAGCTAATCAATGATTCTCTCTCATCATTAATGTTTCCATCTCTCTCTCTCCCCCCCCCTCTCTCTTTCCCTTCCTCTCTGAAATCAATGAAAACATATTTTTAATTAAATTTATTGGAATGACATTGGTTGACAACTATGAGTGCTTTTAAGGTTTATATGTTAATAAGAATAATCCATATGGAGAGAAAATGATGATAATGCAGGAAAGAAAAGAGGATAACTCAAAAGCAAAGCCTAAGAAAATGAAGCTAATAGGACTCATGGACTAAATGGAAAGGCTGGAACTTGAGAGAAGCAGGTACTAGAGATGATAGGATTCCAATTTTCTTCTAAACACTATTCTACTTTTTCCAGATGTCTACAATTTACATATGTTACTCTGAAATTTTTAAGTTATTTCTAAACTTTCTTTCTTGATTCAAAGAACTACAAAAGCAAATACATAGTTAGGTAAACATGTTAAAAATATATATTTTCATAAAAAAGTAGAAACTATGAGATAAATACTAAAACAATTATTGTAACAAAATAAAACATTTTATCCACTTTTTTTTTTTTACAAAATAGTAAATAAAGGCCTCATGAGGGATCATTAATCAATCAGTATTATTAGTATTCTCTTTATACTGACCTTTCCTAAAGTATTATTTTCAAATATGGTCATAACATACACTTACCTGACAAAATAGACAATTTTAACTACAAGATGAAAAAACTGTTTACTTGATAAGTTAAAATAAGTGGGACAGTTTGTTAAGGAAACTAAATGGATGACTTTATCCCTTTTCTAAGTACATGACTATATAATCAACTGTAGCTTATATTCAAAAAAGACTAGAGGAAAATGAGATATTAAATCAAGAGGTTTTATTCAGACACTAAACTCTGGAATAAACTACAGATTCTAGAATCATAATCACCACTAGACATTGTTAAAAATATAAGAATCATAAGCCCTGAGGATTTGATCAACCAAATGACTGGACAAAACTATCTTAAAAGTCTCTTCTATCTCACTGTCTCATTATTTGTTTAATGATTTCCTAGTATGACCTAGCATGGAGTCTAGCACATGGTAAGCACTCATAAATATTTTAAATAAATTAATTAATAACTTAAGATAATTATTCTTGAATTAAATTCTTATATTTAGTACTGCATTTCAAGAAAAAGTTTGTTGCCCTTGCTGGTTTGGCTCAGTGGATAGAGTGTCGGCCTGCAGACCGAAAGGTCCCAGGTTCGATTCCAGTCAAGGGCACATGCCTGGAATGCGGGCTCGGTCCAACGTGCAGAAGGCAGCCAATCAATGATTCCCTCTCATCATTGATGTTTCTATCTCTCTCTTCTTCTCCCTTCCTCTCTGAAATCAATAATATACATATTTTTAAAATAAATAAATAAATAAATAAAATCTTTCATATTAAAAAAAAAGAAAGAAAGAAAAAGTTTGTTGTTTCTCACTTTCTAATGGCCCACATCACCGTAACAAAAACAATTTTTTATGCCCCTCTTACCTCTGGTGGTCCACTAAAAGAATATGCATACAGAATAGGTTGAATCATGATTAGAGACTGGGTCAAGTCTTGACGCATAAAATGGTGACGATAGTATGAACTCTCATCAGGGCTGTTGTTAAAAACTTGCAAGAAAGGAGACCTTCTTAAGTGAAACATAAACTACAAGATAAAACATGTGACAGCTTTTTAATGATTTTAATATTGCAATAGGAGTCTACTATTACAAAAAGCATTTGATTACAACTACTAAAACTACAATAAAAGAAATAGCATTGAAAATTATATTTCTAAGAATCTTATTTATGATAATTACCAGTTACTTGAAAATGTAATTCAACAATTAAAAGATTAAAGTAAAAGGGGTGACTCAAAAGAAAAACAAAATTAGAGACAAAAATCCCTAGCTCAGATTTAAGTTTTTCAGAGGCTGATGCCAGGTGGTGCACATCAACATTCTTTGTTTTTATCCCTCATTTCTCTAACCACATCTCTGCGCTTTTTTATTATTATTCATTAACACCACCAAATACTCTAAGAGAACTTAAAAATAGATTAACAGATTTTCTGCTTTTTGTGTAACTCCCACAAATTGCACTGGAAAGGATCTGCACTGGTTTTTAAAAAGACTTACATACACCCACTTGTTTCTTAATATTTAAGGTCTTCCTTATCTCTAGGTAACATTCCCTACAGTGTTTCATTTATTCTTTCCCTTTCCACTCCTCATATGAAAAATATCAGAAAGGGGGAGAGTTAAACCTGAATGAAGGAGCTCCACTGTCCTCTGACACAATCAAAGGTCTTTGATACAATCAATAGGATCAGTTCCAAAGTACTCCCACCCATTTGTCTTTCAGTTACTTCTCTCACCTTCCTTCAGCCCTCAGGTCTACATGTTGCTCCTGAAAAAAACTCACTCCACATTTCTCTCTCCCAACACAGGCCACTCACTGAAATTCTCATTCCTTTTCCTAATGTACTGAGCAGTTCTCTCATCCCTTACCATTTCAGCCACTCCTGTTTATTCAGAGGAATGAGTAAATGGTAAATTTGGAGTTAAATATTTTGAAGATGAAGACCTCCATTAAATTTAGTCTATGTCACCTTTCAGAAGATCATCAGCTTTGAAAACCCAAAGTAGAAAAGTCTTTCTGGGTTTTCTGGTCTATATTTCCCCCAGAGGGGAAAAGATGGGATACCCAGACTTCTCAGAATCTAAAAGCCTAAAGAGAAGGTGTAAAGTAGGGAGAGAAAAGAAAGCAAAGAAAGTGTGGAGAATTCAGTCAAATGCTTAAGCTAATACTTTCATTTCCTTTTCCATTAGTTTCTGCTATGAAGATGAGGCCTGAGAATTCCCAACACAGCAAGGGTTTTTGCCTGCCTTAAGACAAGTGGACTCTGCCTTTTCCCAGTTCTTTAAAACTTCACCAGAAATTTAGGGAAGTCTCCCCCTGTAAACATGGAGTTTCTATGTTACAAATCAATAAAACATTTTCCAAACAATGTAAGAGGAGCTCTGAAAAGTTGAGGCTTTAAACAAAGATTTCATGAGCAAAAATTTGAATTTCTACTTATTGATATTAATCATCATTCCAGGCTGAGCTAAAAAGCCACCTCTTCTATAAATATCTAACTGCCCTAGCTGGTTTGGCTCAGTGGATAGAGCATCAGCCTGCAGACCAAAGAGTCCTGGGTTCCATTCCGGTCAGGGGCACATACCTCAGTTGCAGGCTCCTCCCCGGCCTAGACCCTGGTCAGGGCACAATGCAGGAGGCAACCAATCGATGTGTTTCTCTCACATATCCCTCTCTTTTTCACTCTCTCTGAAAACCAATGGAAAAATATCCTCGGGTGAGGATTTAAAAATAACAAAAAACAGAAATATGTAACTAACCACCCATTTGGAAGGATTCCTTCCAGTTTCCTTTAAATTCTATATATCTCTCATACCATTTCTCATTTTCAGTTCTGTGATCTCACCCTTCAGATTGAAAGCTCCTTAAAAATGAGATCCACGACTGTTCCCGGCCACATGAAGGCTAGAATGTGCATCCTCCTCTTTGAGGTGTGGGGAAGTCATGTCTCCTCCTGCAGTTTACGGACAAGCGGTTCCAGCCTGTCCACAACCTCACCATAGGTGTGGAGTTTGGGGCCCGTATGGTCAACATTGATGGGAAACAAATCAAACTGCAAATCTGGGATACAGTTGGGCAAGAAACTTTCCGTTCTATCACCCATTCCTACTACAGGGGAGCAGCTGGAATACTGCTGGTGTACGACATCACAAGGCATGAAAACTTCAACCACCTGACCTCATGGTTAGAGGATGCCCGGCAGCACTCTAGTTCCAACATGGTTATCATGCTGATTGGGAATAAGAGTGACTTAGAGTCCCACAGGGATGTGAAGAAAGAAGAAGGAGAGGCTTTTGCTCGGGAGCGTGGACTTAGGTCCTTTACGGAGCATGGACTTATATTCATGGAAACTTCAGCCAAAACAGCCTGCAATGTTGAAGAGGCCTTCATTAACACAGCCAAAGAAATATATAGGAAGATCCAGCAGGGTTTATTTGATGTCCACAATGAGGCAAATGGCATCAAGATCGGTCCTCAACAATGTATTTCAACATCAGTGGCACCCATTGCCTCCCAGCAGAACTCTGGTGACATAGAGTCCAACTCTGGCTGCTGCTGAATGTCTGGCCTGGACGCTTTTTTTTCCTTCCTGGAACAGCTTCAGATCAATAGGCTTAAAGAGGTCTTATTAACTTTGGCTGAGTAAAGCCTCTTTTCAAGGTGTGATGTTTTGCCTTTCCACTTAAAGACCGGGGAAAATTTGGGCCCTTACTGACCTGTCCCTTCTTCGGGGACGTGAGCATTCCTTATAGATTAGGGCTCTTCTTATACTCCTACTTTAATTACTAAAATGTTAGTATCAAAGTTGATTGTCATGGCAATGAAAAAATAAATTATTTTAGAAGTATTAAAAAAAATGGGATCCACATCAGTCATCTTTATTCTCCTAAAGTTCCTTGCACATAGTACTTTGTTGAATAAATGTTACCTGTTACTCATATAAATAACATAGATTTTAAAAATATCTATCAAAATGATAGAGGGATAGATTCCACTGCCCAAATGAAAAGCTTCTGTAAGATAAATCAAATTAGCTTCTTTTCTATTTATCTGGTATATCTCCATAAAACTGTTCTTGGGTGCTGATACCATGCTGTAAGACTAGTTGATTGGTCGAACCACTTCAGGTGAAGTTCTTTTGGTACCACTGTAATTAGACCCCTTATATCAGAGGGAAAACTAATCTGATCTACCTCTAATTCTATTCCATAATAGGGTTCTTATGGAGATTTCTATTCACCACAAATAAATGACTATTTGCAAGGGCAACATAAAAATACTATATACTTTTTTCACTGACAACTCACAGCATAATATTAATTTCTTAGCTATCCCAAAACAATAAATAGGCTTTGTAAGTTGAGAAATAAAAGTCAATAAGGAAAGTGAGACCCAACACTATTATCAACACAAAGAACACAGACCTTTTATCTACTCACCTGTGGATAAAGGGAGAAAGTTTCTGAAAATCTGAAGGAACTTGGATCATCTTTGTGATACTCTCCAAATTTCTGACACTAAATCAAATAAGACATGTTAGTAATATAATTCCTGGCATAGAATTAAGACTGTGGCCTATACATATTCTATTTTAAAAAGCTATTATCCTGGACATGGACAACAGGGGGATGAGAGCATGAGTGGGGGGGTTAATGGGTGGGAATGAGGACACATTTGTAATTCCTTAACTAATAAAGAATTTAAAGATTTAAAAAATAATAATAATTAAAAAAATAAATAAATAAAAAATAAAAATCTATTATCCTTTAGGAGGCAGATATTTGATATAGGCTAAAATTGGAATATTGCTTATAGACTTACTAAAAGACTTATTACAACCAAAGAAATATATTTGAATTTCAGAACTACTATATCATTTATGTGTTTATCTATGCCTTATCTATAATAATAAAAGGGTAATATGCTAATTAGACTGGATGTCATTCCAGACATCCTTCCTGACGAAGCCAGGGCTGGAGGGAAGTCAATCCAGTTCCCGGGTGCCTTCAGGCAGCCTGGGGGAAGCCAGCCCAGGTCCTGGGTGCCAGAGGGAAGCCAGTGCCAGCAGCCGGGGGAAGGAAGGCCTACTCTTGCACGAATTTTCATGCATCAGGCCTCTAGTAGAGCATATAAAAAGGCATAATTAATTTTATCACATTTTTGGCTTCCATGAAAAATCACTTCAGACCTACTGTTATCCAAAGGATAGGAATGCTATAGTTGTAGAGCCAATCCTTAAAAAACAAATCTTGCTATCTGGGAATAAGAGTTTGGCAGTCTTCAATGTTTCCTAATTATACTTCACTGGTGAAACTTATAGATTAAGATAATAATCTTCACTGTCCAATATGATAGCCACTAGCTATATGTGGTAAGTTAAAGTAATTAAAAATTTTTAAAAATCCAGTTCCTCAGTTGCACTAGCCATACAGAGGTAGGCAAGAGTAGGTTTATAGTTGTAATACAAATAAATAACAATAATTAATAACAAATACAAGGATATACTGTTTTGTATATTCACAACTATAAACCCACTTTTGCCCACCTCTACATTGGAAGAGCTCAATAGCCACATATGTGTAATAGTTCCATATAAACAGTGCAAACTATAGGTATTTCCACCACCTATCTCTTGGATAGTGCTGACCTAGAATATCTAATACCTTGAAAAGATGTGAAAAAGCCAATATGTCAGGCATTATTCAGAACTACAAATCACATTATATTAAATATATATATTTTCTATTGTACCTAGGAGTCTATTAAAACATTAGGCAAATCTGATATTATGGATAGTGAGGGTAATGAAAAGATTATTAACTTTTATGCTTGGGTAACTGAGGATGTCCAAAAGGACAATTTCCAGGATGGGATGTATCTAATAACTATGTCCAAAATTTTTGCTTTTATTATGAACATTTTTTCATGTCATTAAATACTCTATTACTTCATTTTTAATGGCTCACTAGCATTCCACTATACTGATACTGACATCGATATAATATAACTATTTTAACCAATCATTCATCATTAGCATTTACATTTGTTCTGTTATATCTTTAGAAAGATATAAATTCCTAGAAGTAGAATTTCAGATAAAAGGTAGTTTTTAAGTCTTTGATATAAGTCACCAACTGCCTTCTTTTTTTGTTGCTGTTCTTTTTTGTTAATCCTCACCAGAGGATATTTTTCCATTGATTTTTAGAGAGAGTGGAAGAGACAGAGAAACATGATGTCAGAGACACATCAATTGGTTGCCTCCTGCATAAGCCCTGATCAGGGCCAGGGATCGAGCATGCAACCGGGACTCTTTAGTCTGTGGGCTGACACTTTATCCACTGAGTCAAACCGGCTAGGGCACCAGCAGCCTTCTTTATATAAGGTTATACAGATATTTACAAAAGTTGTACAGATTCATACACCTACAAGCTATTCTAATTCTTATCAGTTTGACAGATGATAATTTTTGTCTTATTCTATTTTAGAACTTTGATTATAAGTAAGATTTGGTAAGTTTTTCTTATTTACTAGTCACTTCACATTTCTTCTTTTGCTAATTCTTAGTTCATGATCTTTGCTCATTTTTTGCCTAAACCTAACTGATTTGTAAGAGCTCTTACAAATGAAAATTTTCACATTCTATCATACATATAACAAATGATATTGTCTGTACTTTACCACAGATAACAATGTAAACTTTGTATAACATACACAAACATGAATTTCTAATTTTTGGGCTACTTCTTAAAAATAAATTCTGAACACTAGTCAAATGCCCTAGTATTCACTTACCATGAGGAGTCAGCCTTATTTACAACCCAACCAAACCACTAATCATATGAGAAAAAAGAGATTGAAGCATAAAGAAGGTATATCAAAGATCCACTGTTTGAATTATTCAGAAGTAATATGATTGAGCAGATAAAGCAACGACAATAGTGTTCTTGAGAAAAATAACACTTGCAAGAAGGCTTGTCCTATCCTTAATTCAGTATTATTTATGCATCAAGGCAGTCACATTAAAAAAAATAGGTCAAAGCCTAAATTCCATAAGAAAATGATAATGACAAAAGTAGTCATCTTTTTTTTTAATATATATTTTATTGATTTTTTTACAGAGAGAAAGGGAGAGGGATAGAGTTAGAAACATCGATGAGAGAGAAACACTGATCAGCTGCCTCCTGCACACTCCCTACTGGGGATGTGCCCGCAACCCAGGTACATGCCCTTGACTGGAATCGAACCTGGGACCCTTGAGTCCGCAGGCTGACGCTCTATCCACTGAGCCAAACCGGCTAGGGCAAAAGTGGTCATCTTTAAAAAGGGCTTGGTCTCACTGGTATAGCAAGAAAAAACCTGGCTTGGGTAAAATTTTCAAGGAAAGCCCCAAGTGTCTTAAACAAGAGAAATTTCCTGGGCCAAGACTAATCAGATAAAGTGTTTTTCCATTGGACTAGCAGCACAGCTAAAGGGAGAACACAATTAGTGGTTAGTGGGTAAACTAAAGGTTAATGATGAAAAAAAATCAAATATTGATTTTGAATTGTAAGAGAATGTCATTCAATAGAAAAGGTAAGAAACAGATCCATGAAGCTGTACACAAAGTGATCAACAAGAGACTGAGAATGGAGGTGGCAAATCATGTGTTGATGCCAGTACCTTAAGTGATGCTGACCAAGGGGAGCAAGAGTGTATGTAGGGTGTCCCCCCAAAATGTATACACACTTATCAGCTGATAGCTCAATTGATGTTTCTTTTCAGATTTAACCCATTGGAATTAATAATTATTCAAAGTGTATATACATTTTGGGGGAACACCCTGTATTAAAAATGTCAGAAGCAAATGTGGTACCAGCACCAACTTGGCCATATAATGCCCACTATCTAAAAATAGTTTTTAAATAGATGTTTATTTTTAATTAACATTACTCCAAATAATTAAGAAAAAAACTATATTCACTATGCCAAATTAAGGCAAAGAAGTTTGTTAGTATAATTTCATAGATTTTTCACTAGAAAAATATTAACCCTTTCTCTATTTGTGTAGCTATCACTGTTATAGCTGAAAATTAAACAGCATGGATTCAGTACAAAAAATGAGGCTACACTATATTAGCTACTTAGAATAGTTTCTGTAACTGAGGTTCATTTGTCATCACCTTAAGCTTCACTTCAATTGTACACTAAATTTGATTCAATCAACTAAAGAAAAAAATGTAAAGATCATATTGTCACCACTTTTATCATATATAAGGGGTTCTTAGTCACTAAGCGTTTTATGATTTTTTTTTAATTATTTTTTTAAACTTTTCACACCATAGCATGCCAGCCACAGTGATGGACAGTTTCCAATTTATTTATAGAGTAGAGGCCCAGTGCACAAAATTCGGGCAGGGGGAGGAAGGTCTCTCAGCCCGGCCTGCACCCTCTCGCAATCTGGGACACCTAGGGATTGGGCCTAAACCAGCAGTCGGACATCCTTCTCGCAATCTGGAACTGCTGGCTCCTAACCGCTCACCTGCTTGCCTGCCTGATTGCCCCTAACCACTATTCCTGCCTGACCGCCCCTAACCACTCACCTGCCTACCTCATTGCTCCTAACCGTCTCTGCCTGCCTACCTGATCTCCCCTAACCCCTCTGCCTGCCTGCCTGATCATCCCTAACCACTCGCCTGCCTGCCTGATGGCCCCTAACTGCTCGCCTGCCTGCCTGATAGCCCCTAACCACCTCTGCCTCGGCCCCCACACCCGGGACCCAGGCTTCCCTCCTCCGGCCGGCCGCAGGCAACTAGGACCCGGGCTTCTCTCCTCCAGCCGGCTGCAGGCAACCAGGACCAGGGCTTCCCTCCCTTTGGCTGGCTGCAGGCACCCAGAATCCATTTGCTTGGGCCGGTACCTGGGACCCCAGGCAGCTTCACCCAGGCCAGCACCTGG